TCCATCGAAACTTACTTTTACTACTAATTTTAAAATAATATTTACCGTTAATAAATAATAAATTAATATTAATAAAAAATATATTTATTATAAATAAAAAATTTCAGATAAATTTAGAGAAATAAAAAAAAGTACTAGAAGTATAAATAAAAAATATATATATATATATATATTTATAAAGTCACTGTGGAAAAAAAGATCAAAGTAAAAGATAAATTTATTTTTTTTTTCGAAAAAAAATCGTAAGACAACATTCCAGGTTTTAATTTATAAATGTTAGCGTAATATTTTTTGATATCACACACGCACACATATATATATATAAGTTTTTTTTTAATAATTGCCGTGTCACCGTGCAATGTAATATAGAAACGACAGATTTATGTTTTTCATAACGACTGGGCGCAACTTTAAGTTGGCGTTTTTCCAGGATTTCTATATAGCTCCTAAAGTAAATATTATTCCTGAATCGGATGGCCGATCCTTTCATATATGTATATATAAGGACTAAATAAATCAATTGCACCGGAACTTCCGGAAATTAGCTCTGAAATTTGATCACGTTAATTTAATTCCTGTTTTTTTGCTTTCTCTAAAAATGTTTACTCGGTAAAAATACTTCGTTTCAAATAAATGAAACAATTCTAGGACCAATTTTTTAAAAATTATATTTATAATTAGTACATTTATAACAATTATTATTTTATAATTTAGATTATATTTTATATTATTTTAATTATTATTGTTCTATTATTATTTATTTTATTATTTTATTTTATTATATTATTTTAAAATTTTATTTAATAAATTTAATTTACAATTTCCATAGAAAAAATTGTAAATTTAGAAAATCATTTTCTTTTTCTTCTTCTATTTTATGTTATGGAAATTCTTGTAACTATGGTATTTAGAATAGAAAATAACTTAATTTTAGCATACAAGGAAGATGTAAATATGCTTTTATAGAGAATAATGTTTCTGGAAGTCTGCGAACAATCAACGGTAAGAATTTACGATATTGGTCCATTAAACTATGCATATGAACGAAATGCGCCTGAGGAAGTATTGCTTCCGTTTTAAAATACTCAACAATATCGTTTATACACTAAACAATCACAATCGATTTTTGATTGACCTCATTTTTTGCATCGATTTTTTTCCAAATAGTCTTCTAAATATATATTTATTATTTTATTTTCATTTTCTTAAAAAGAAAAGTTCACAAAATATATATTATTCAGGTAAAAATTATCAATTTCTAGTATTTTTTTTCAGAGAAAAAAAATTATATGTTTTAGTTCAAGTTGTGTAAAAAAAATGGAATAAAATTTAGAAAAAATGTATATCTATATATTGAAAGACATGGATCTCTGATATATTTCAGATCTGAAAATATCTGAATTTGGATCTGAGAAGTTTCTTCGAGATAAAAATAGACACGGGGGAAGCATCCGACAGTCATAAATTACTGTCACCCACATAAAACAGTCCTATTCGCATTTATCAAGTGGATGCGTCGATCAATTTCATTGCAAAAATGAAAGGCTAAATTCAACCTGTTCATTAAATTTGAAATCTCATTTTTTTTCCTTCAAATTTCAATAATACAAAGTTGAAAAATGAATTTATTATTTACGATTCATATACTTAATATTTTCTTCTATATACTTATAGTATAATGTGAAAATTATATTGGAAAGAAATTTTTTTTTTTTTTTTTATTATAAACTTGATTTAATCTTTTTTTTTGGTTTTAGAATTTCTCGCACGTGCCATTCAGTTAAATATCAACTCTCTTTGAAATAACATCTGGTTGTGCTAAAAACTTGAGACAAGTGTTCACTGAGAAACCAAATTTTGATAGCTAAGCTATATGACATTATGAAGATTTCCACTGGAGGAAAGATAGAAAGAGAGACATTAATAGCTATGACAGAAGGACAAACAACATTTATTTATTTGTGTCAATCAATTTTCATAAATTATTTTCACAACTAATTAATAAACACTTTGCAAAATAATTTGCGAATTCAATTTTTTTAAATTACAAATTTTTTTTTCATTATATTAAAATCGACTAAAAAATAATTAATTTTTTTAACATATTAATAAAAATGTTATAAATAAATAAATAAAATATAAAAAACTAAAATTACAAATACAGTTTTGACATAGTTGATAATAATTATGATAATTTTGACGAATTCAGATAAAATTGACAATTAATCACAATTTGTCAACTAGTTCTATGTAATAATTATAATTCCAAAAATAAGTCTCGCATAATTTTTGTTTTTTTTTCTTTCATTTTGCTCGAGGGAAATTTGAAAAAGTAATTTGTTAAAAGTATCTTGGCAGTAAACTTGTCTCAAAAGTAGGTGGAGAAGTGTCTGTTTTCTTGTCATCGTTTAGACACTGTAAATTAGGATGTCTTATATATACAAAAATGACATTTTCAGATGTCAATTAAAAGGACATTTTTTATCTCATTAAATTATTTTTTAATTAACTAAATAATTAGTAATAGAATTAATTAACTACATACTCTCTAAATCTAAATTAGTAAAAATGTTCACTAATTTAAATTAGTGACTCACTTTTTCCTTTAGAATTAGTTAAATTTTACTAATTGTTAGTAAAAGTTACTAATAATTAGTAAAATTTAACTAATTCATAAGCAAAAAGTGAGTCACTAATTCAAATTAGTAAACATTTTTACTAATTCAAATTTAGAGAGTAATTAGTAATTGTAGTAATTAACTAATAAAATTAGTAATTAAATTAATTAACTAAATAACTAATTTAACATCATATAAATAATAAATATAAACAAATAATATAAATAATATATTGAAATAATTTTTTTCTATGTATGAAAAGGAAGAAATTAAAAATTATAAACTTGGGAAGGAATTTCGAAAATATAGTGAGTGGTAAATGGACTTATGTCCATAAGAAGAAAAAAGAAAAAAAAAAGAAGAAGAAGAAGAGGAAAGAGATATTTGAAAAGAGGGTGAGGGTGCCATGTTGGTGGATCACGTCGGATTACATTCGTAAGGTATAAAGGTCTGTGTTTCTATTTTCATCTCACGACGCTCCAAATTTAAACGACGTACGACGACGCCACCCGCCGTTTCAACCCTCCCCCCCTCCCACCCTTCGCACTCTCATCCCTTTGCCCCCACCCCTCATTTCAAAGAGGCATTTTCTTCATCGAGCTTGCAACTATGTATACCCGTTCATTAAGCAGGTCCTCATTTTACGAACTTAAACTCCAAGGCACTCATCTCTACGTTTATATACAGTATATATATAAGTATATGTGAAACAAGACGAAGAACAACGGATATGCGAATCGACTCACTCACTTCCGGGGCGACGCGAGTTTGCATCCCGCTTTTAATCGTTTGACCAACCGCGAAACAAGAGGTCGCTGAACTTCTTGACATTATTTTTTATTATTATTATTATTATTATTATTATTATACACTAATTCATTTTAATTATAGAATTCAAATCCTACGGGGATCGAACCCCCAACGCCTAATCAAAGATCTAATCTAAGAACGCTTTAACGACCACGGCTATCGAAACTATAATTCGCTTAATCAAAAAAATATTTTTTCTTTAAAATGAAATGATTAATTATTGTTATTATTATTTATTTATTATAGTATATTTATTTATTTTAGTTATTACTAATTTTGTTTATTATACTTTTCCTACGTTCTAAAAAAAAATTCTAATATTTTTTATTATAATTTTTCTACATCTGGTTTTCATCTATTTCAATGCGGTGAAATTTGTTCAAAAATTCTAGGCTTAATCTCTATTTTCAAAATTCACATTGAAGCAAAAGGCATTTAAAGCGGCTCGTTAAAATTCTATTTTATGTTTAATATGTCATTTTCCCAGTACAAATTGTTTGCTACGCTCGTGAAATAGAATTTTCTTTGATCTCTTAATTCATTCATATCTACCTTAGAGTACAAAGATGTTTTTGTGCTTTATGAAGCTTAAACTCACGCCCGTTATATATACTAACTTTTCAAGCTTTTTTTTTAATTCTTTTTTCAAAATTTCCAAACCATGTCAATTATTACTATAATTATCAATTTAGTATAGCAATAATTATAGAATTGTTGCTAAAATTATTTAATTATACATAATTATTTATAGAAATTATACTTTTTTTTGTTATTTTACTGTATTTTTGTAAAATATTTTAAATGTAATAATTAATTATTTTACAATTTTAAAAAATATTTTTAATTATACTATTTTTTTTCCTAATTCTTAATTTGAATGTGTAAATGTTCTTCTTACCATTCGAGTTACGATTCTCAGTTTCGTTTAACTTCCGCTAGAAGTGATACAAATTAAAAATTAAATTAGTACAATTAAAATCATAAAAATATACAATTTTTGAAAAAATATTCCCCTTTTAAAATTATTTCTTATTATACATTATCATTTTTATTTTTTAATAAAAATACACTTAATAGTTAATAATAATAATAAACTTATATCAATATTAATTTAGAAATAAAAAAATTAAGATTAGATTTTAGAAAAATTAATTAAATTAGTAATTAATAATTTTAAATTTTTGAATAACGAATTAGAAATTTACGCATAAGGAGAGAAAAATAGGTAAGTGATAAGAATTACAGGAATAAAATGCGGATTTTTTTTTTTCAATATCGTTTTCTTTATTTTGTAGAAAACTGCGTGATAAGTACACCAATAATCTTGCAATGTCGAAATGTTGCCGATTCATCGGGGCACGAAGGGAACTGTTCAGAACAAGTGTACATTATTGAATATACTTTTTTTTCTTTTTTTTTTTTTTTTTGTAAAAAATGTACACACACTTTCTTTATAATGTTCGAACAGCCTCCGAGAGGCCCAAGATTTTATTTTTCCTAGCAAGCCAGAGCAGTGAACAACGAACATTTTCTATATGTGGTAAAATGGTACAAGTCTACTGTGTAAAAAAGTTTTTTTTTTTTTTTTTTAATTATTTTAATTATTCTCGTTGCGCCTCAGCGCATCTGGAAATTCTCTCATGAAATAAAAATCGAACCAGAAATTCTTTTTGGAAAAAAAACCAAGTTCAAATTGAATAAAACATTTTTTTTTCTTTTCTTTGGGACGAAAAAAATTTTTCTTTTTTTTTGCTATATATATATTTTTTCGAACTTGAACTTTTATTTACCATTGAATTTCCAGTTCGTCGATATATTGCACACCTCTCTCTCTCTTTCTCTCTCTCTCACACAAAAAAATGGCAAAAAAAATTGCCATTTGAAAAACATTTTTTTCCAGATGCAATTTTGGCCCGTTAAACGAGCGCAAAGATTCGAATTTTACGATAAAATTTATTTATTTTACTTTATTTATTTATTTTTTTTTCGTCCAGATGAAACTTTAGTAGAAGCGACCTACTTTTTAAACGACACTGTCTCTAAACATCGATCGATTATTTGGAAAAAAGTTTCTTCAAAATTTACTTTCTTTCGTTCGTACGCACAACGATAGTGAAAAAAACATTTGTTATAGTTCGATGATGATGATATTACAATGATGATCAGTCGACTCGAACGACATGACACGCTCTGTTTTTTTTTCACATTACAAGATTAAATCATTCTCTTTTAAAAATTCTATTCACATTACCTATATATATATTTATATATATAAACAATCAAATCCTTTTGCTAGTTCCTTTGATTTTATCTTCAAATTAATGTATCGATAATTTTCTTTACAAATCAAATAATAGTTTATTTTAATTAAATAAATTATTACTTGATTTAGTGAATAATCGATTCATTAATTTTCTCGTTTGATAAATAAAAAGGAAAAAAAAAATTTTTTATAAATTTTTCTTCATCATTAAATTATATACAAAAAGAAAAATAATTATGAGATATAATTTAATCTTGTATTGTGATATTTTTAAGGTCCTCGCATTTCATACATTATTTTCCCCCCCAATCCCTTCTTCGATCAGCAAACCATTTGCGCATCGAGGAAGAGTTTTAAATACCTATAAGAATTTTGATTCTCAAATTTACGGTACATCCATCAGTCTGCGGGTCTGTGCATTGATTTCTTTATAGCTTTCTCACCATTTTTTTCATTCTTTTTTTTTTTTTTGTTTTGTTTTTTTTTTGGTTACTAGTAACAAAAATGGACGCTTCGTGGTTTGGAAAATTTACGATATCAAGAGTCACTCGTTTTTTTGTTTTTTTTTTTTTAAAAAGTAAAATAAAAAATTCATTAATGGGAATTTTTTTTAAGGGGTGGGGGGACGAGAGTGACACTAATTCGATTTATTCAAAAACCACGAGGGACTAGACACACCGATTCTTATCAACAGTAGGATATAATTACATCGTAAAAAGTTTCGACGCGCCTTCACCAGCGAAGAGACGCATTTGACATCGAAATTTTGGAACACGTCGTGAAATCACAATTGACTGGCAAATTTTTCACCGAGTCGTTGTCACTAATAATTACAAATACGTCCTAGAAAAAGAGAAAAAACGATTGCAATAGCTAAAAAAAAATAATAATAATAATTTATCAACCAGTCGTGCTTGGCCGAAATTTAAGGCTTCGCTGAGGCAGACCGGAAAATTTTTGTCAAAACTTCCATTCTTCCCAAAAAAAAAAAAACCCTTTTCCGCTAATTTTCACATTAAATAATATACAATAGCTTGAATATCGACCTTTGGTTTAATCGCCTATTCATAATAAAAAAATCTCATTTGCTATATCATTTGCTTTTTAGACTAGACCAATTTCATCATCATCATCATCTTCTTCTTTCTCTCCCCCCCACCCCTCAATCTTTACATTCAACCTATAATTTAAATCAACTAACAATTTATGTCTCGAATAAAAAACACTCTTATGAGAAATAGTGACTATAATCGCCTATATCTAGAAAAAAAAAAGAATCAACAAATTTATTTATCTGGCACATTGTTTTACCTAACACATTTTCACATGCCATTTCTATATAAGAAATTTTTTTTTCTCCAAATTTCAAATTCAAGCTGTACCCTTAATAATAAAAATACAATTTATCTACAAAAAAAATATACATTTTGAAAAAATATATATATACGGAAGAATAGGAAGTTTAACAAACTTAATAATAATAATAATAATAATTGATCGCTTTTTTAATATCGAGATCATATATATATTTTGAGATTAAACTGCCTCATCGCAAATCCGGCCTTCCACAGGCAAAGCATTAGATTTTGATAAAGGAAGACCCGTTTCAAATGGCGGGCGCAACGACCGAGGACGTCATCTTTTTTTTTCTAAATTTGCACAAAAAAAAAAGAAAAAATAAATAAATCCACTCGTCCTCGAATGTCCCAAAAAATCTCAAGGATTTGAATATCAACATGCTATTTAAACATTGTGATATTCAATAATAATAATAATATTAATAATAATAATAATAATAATTCAAGTCGACTACGAATCTCGCCTACAAAGAACTTATTTCTTACGTATATATTCCATTGATTTAATTTAAATTCAATCTAACAATAAAGATAGATAACATTTAAATTCAACCGAGGCTTGCACAGGACCCATTGGATTAAAACAGCTCTTCTCTCTCTCTCTTTCTCTCTCTTTTTTTTAGTCTTCCTCCCTTTTTTCACTAATTAATAAAAAATCACGTTTTTCCTCCTTGTCATATCTTTTTCTTTTTTAGTTTTAAATATGATAATAATAATAATATTAATAATAATAATAATAATAATGATAATAATAATGATAATAATAATAATAATAATTATAATAATAATATAATAATAATATAATAATAATAATAATAATAATAATAATATAATAATAATAATAATAATGATAATTAATCTTCATCACCTAATATTGCATGCGCTTGAACACATTTCGAAGATGGAAAATCGTTTTGTTTCTATGCGCTTAGCGTTTTATTTTGCTTCTTTTCTTTTTCTTATTAATTAATTTTTTTTTATTATTTGCTTCTGTGGTTTGCATTTTTTTTTTGTTTTCGTGTCGCTCGAATTGCGCAGCTTAATAAATTGTATAGTGTAGTGTAGTCTGTAAAACTGCCCGGTGGATTTTTTTTCAAATATCAAAAAAAGTACTACCTCGTGCAATATTAGATATTTGAAAATAAATTTTTATTCTTTTCTTTCTTAAAAAAGAGAACTCGAAATGAAGCAAATTAATAAAAATTATAAATAAATTTTGTTATAAAAATAAATGTATATAAATTTCTTTGAATTTTTTTTTTTTTTTATTAACAAAACAGAAGAATTTTTTTTTAAATTGCCTTGCACGAGATAGAAAACTATTTTTAAAAAGTGCTCGGATTAATTTAATTTACTATCGCTTTTTTCAATGATTACAATAATTGGTGACTCCTTGTGAGATATTGTGTGTTCGCTCTGCTCCGATTGACAACATCAAAATTGCTTTTTGTTACATATTTTTTCAATTTAATTAAAATTCAATATTATTTGATGTAAGAATTAAAATACAGGAATTAGTGTAAATTAATTAATTAAATTTAAACAAAATTTTTTACTAAATATTTTTTTGCAAAAATTTCAATTTTCTTTTTATATATAAAATTATTGTTCAAAAAAAAAAATCCAGATTTTGATGAGCATCGAAGCAGATCTCGTCCTATTTCGTCAAAGAAAAAAAAAAACTGAGGCCTTATCTATTTGAATAATAATAATAATAATAAAAGTAGCATTATATCTGACATTACGCGGAGCGATCGAAGTACAGGAGATGCGTGAGCTTTGGCAAAATTAGTGACCACAAATCGCGATTTCTCAGCCATAAATTTCCCCTCCCCCCCCAAAAAAAGAGGCAGCAAATAGAATTATTAATATCATAAAATAATATTTTGCGCAATATCGAAAACTGAAACGATCTCGGTGATTGTTCATCGCAGTCGAATCAAACACTAAAACGTGAATGTCGAGCCAAGACCGAACATTTAACGAGGCTGAGAAAACTCTCTTTTTTTTTTCTTCAAGTCTCTCTTGAAATACACGCGAAAAAAAATAGGTAAAATTCTTGAAAATTAAAAAAAGAATACTGAAAAATGTATTAATTTTTTTTTTTTTGGAAAGAAAGAATACTGTATTTTGTGTCTTATTCGTTACAAAATAATTGTATATTAGTGATATTTCAACAAGACTTTTGAAAAAAATGAAGAAAAAAAATTTTCTTTTTTAACTCATGCATCACCTGAGAATTCCGAGCGATCCAACGACTCATGTGTATCGTATTCGTGTTGATGTTTTTTTTTCCTTTTTTTTTGTTTTGTTTAAACTTTAAATCGGTATTGTAGCATATCATTTTTAGTCGTTATTATTAATATTGATATTGAACTACCTAGCCTAATATTTACAATTTTTTCGCTCTTGGCACTACTGTTTTTTTTGCTCATTTTGACAAACATTCCTATTTCGTTCACTCTCCAAAAAAAGAAAAAAACATTTTCCTAGCAACATTCATTTTTTCCTATCAACATTCATTTTTTCTATTAACGCGTTCATTTTCGACTATTATAATTTTACAGTCGACTATATTTTTTTTTTCAGCGATTCAAATTTTTTATCGACATTTATTTTGTGTGTCTATATAAATTTGCAAATAAAAAAAAAAAAAAAAAAAAAAAATTTCACACTGATTTTGTCACACCCACAACCAGTCATTTTTCTTTCTTTCTTTCTTCTTTTTTTTATATATATATATATTTATATTTTTATATATAATAATAATATACTCGCAATTTCGCAAAAACTCTTGCGCAAATATTGCCAATAAATAATTTACTAAGTCTTTTTCGCAAAAGGACAAACTTCTACGATACTCGAGAATCGTCCGTTCGCCGAATGGGGGTGGCGTTTTTTTTTTTTTTTTTGCCACCTTTAATCCACCAACGCTCGTTTTTTTGATCACAACTTCAAACATCTTTTCTTTTACTACGACTTTGGACTTATCTGAGATCTGGCTAGAAACTGGCCTTTAGGATTGCTTGAAGGAACCAGGATTATTGTGATAGATTTTGATAGAATTTTTTTTTTCGATAATCCCAAAAATTTGATGGTTCTTTTTAATCCTTCGCTGAAGTCCTACTTTTTTTCTCCCTCCCTCCTTCCCTCCCTCTTTCTCTATCTCTCTTTCTTTCTCTCTTTTGAGGCTAATCTGCCTTAACGTCAATATCTTTTCACGGACAAATGACGCGAGCCAAAGTGCGAGAAGAGTTTCTCTCTTGCGAGTAGTCAGTCTTGAGGAATCCTCCGCACCTCGTGAACACGCGAAGGCACAACGACGACGATGACGCTATTTGGCGACGACATATGATTTTTGTTGAATAATGATAATGATAAATGATCGTCGCCAATGGCTATTTTTATTATTCGACGTCCAAAAGCAACTCCTTATCAAGGAGATAAGCCTGTCGATCATCATGAGGAAATTTCGCATGATTCGTGAGAATCCGATAAACGCCATGGATCAAACGTGTTGCTGTTGTTGGGTCTCATCGGCCTCGCAAGGCACCACCGTCAAACTAGACAGATTACTCAAATTGCTACTTGATTCGGAATAATTCGACAGCGTTGGCCTCCTTTGTTGTGGTACCACAACAGTCGGCGTTGTTGTTGTTGTTGTCGTCGTCGTCATCGTCGTCGTCGTATTGCCAGGATTTGGGAATTTCCTGAATACCCTCAAAAGTGAACTTCCAGCACTGTGACAACGTACTATTCGATCTGGAGCGTCCAATAATGCTGATTGACTTCTATAAGGTGGCGGACTCTCGCTATCGAATACCGTTCGATTCGGTGGTGGTCTCACACACTTCTGGTAGATCTCGCTTTCCTACAAAAAAAAAGAATCTTAATTTCCATTTCAGAAAGAAAAAATTAAAAAATAATAATAGTTTTGTTTTCTTATCAAAAATAGGAAACGAAGGATTTTTCCCTTCTTGCAAAAAAAAAAAGTATCTTCGAAGGAAAAGAACTTAGAATATCCAATACCACCCCATCTGCCATGGCATTAGGTTACTGAAATTCTACCTCTTCTTCCAGAGCTAGGCTCCTGTCAAAAGATTCAAGGGTGAACCCGATATTTTCTTCGACAATATTTCTTTCGTCAAAACGAAATTTTAATTTCATTTGTTTCCAAAAAAAAATAAATGAAAGGGTAAAAAATTTTATTTCTAATTATGATAAAATAAAAATCAGTTTTTCATTTCGATCTAATGAAGATAAACTATTTGAATTATTTTTTTTGTAGAAAAACACTAAAATTTGTTGGTAGCTAAGGTTGAACAAATAAAAAAAAATCTGAATTTATTTTTTTTTCGAGATGGAAAAATTGTTTTTTTTTGTTACCTGTTCGGGATCACGAAGATGAAGAGCCGTATGAGCTCCATAGGGACGTTCCTCACCATCGGGAAGTTGAAGCCGCGGAGGAAGATCCAAGGCCAAATCTTGTCGAACACTTCCGGCTCTTACGGCTCGATCCCTTGCGGCAGCAACCATTGCTTCCTGCATTCCGTCACCGCCTCCGCCGCCACCCCCACCTGCTGGACCACCCTCGAGACCACCGCCAAGACCGCCGTGTCCTCCACTGCCGACCTCCATTCCTGGACTCACCGACAGCATCTGTCGAATAAAAAAAAAATCATTTTTATTTTCATTTCTCCATCGAATTTATATAATAAAAGTATTTTTCGGAATGAGAATATTAGTTTCGATTTTTAAATAAAATACGACACAGAATTTTATTTTTATTTAATTCAATTATTTGGTTTCAAAAATTATTTGATTAAATATTTACTTGATAATAGTCAAATAATCAAGTATTTCAATCATATACATTTTTTTCAGTGTAATAATTCAAAAAAAAATTTATCAAAATAAAACGTTTTCAATTAATTTTACAAATCAAATTGGTCCATTGTAGCTCGGATGCTGCGTTGGTCCTATCAAAAAGCACCATATACATTTTTTGTTCATCAGAATCTTGGGAAAGTTCTGTCCTGACATTCTCGAGAATTTTAAATTTTCGTAATTTTTTGCTAAATCTGGTCCATTGTAGTTCGGATGCTGTTGGTCCTGTTAAAAAGTGCCCTATATACATTTTTTTCAGAGCAGTAATTTGTGATTGTGCTCTCTTCTGTCATTTCCGAGAATTTATTTCGAAAGTTTTAAATTTGGGAATTTTTTTGTCCAAATTGGTCCATTGCAACTCGGATGCTGTGTGGTCCATTCAAAAAGTGACCCATACATTTTTTGTAGAAAACTATTTGGAGATAACTCTCCTGACATTCCCGAGAGTTTATCTCGAAAATTGAAATTTTCGAAAATTTTAGTCCACTTTGGTCCATTGTAGTTTGGATGCTGTTGGTCCATTTAAAAAATATTTTATACATTTTTTGTAAAACACTATTTCGTTTACATCGAAGTTTCAAAGTTTATTTCAAAAAATTTAAATTTCGAGATTTTTTGTCCACTTTTGGTCCATTATAGCTCGGATGCTGTAGGTCCATTCAAAAAGTGCTCCACACATTTTTTGTTGGGTTATTCTGTTTGAATAACTCCTGTAATATTTGCAAAAATAAAAAATTTCTTTTAAATAACCTTTAAGTAAACCAAAATGTATATATATATTTTTTTCGCTATCGTGTGGAAAGAACATTTCAAAGTAACGAAGCACGAAACTCTTTCGTGACGCTCATAAAATGTCTGAGTCGCGTCTAGTCGTTTGCGAGGCCGCCGGCAATAGACATAAAAATCAGCCAAGTAGGGTTTCTTTTAAAGCGACAATATATAACAAAAACGACACTCTTTCTCTCGCCTTTCGTCTTCTTTTTCAACTTGGATTAATCTTTTTCCAAGGTCAAATTTCCTCTCACAGGAAATTGTCACCCAATTTTAAAAATACGATTGAAAAATAATTTTCTTTTTACAAAAAATTTCTTTTTCATTTATTTTTCTTTTTTTTTTTCTTTCAAACAAAAAGAAAAAGGAAAAATTTCACATTATCTAATGAATAAGAATTTTTGGTTTTTTTCTTCTCTCTGGAAACATACTAGTTGTGAATCCTGAGGTTATCAAGAAGGTCTTGTCTCCAATATATATATATTTATATGCGTCATCCAGAAAGTCATTACAAACATATCTATATATATATATATGCTCACAGTAAAAGACAAGAGCAACCGCCATATTAATCATTCACTGACTGCGTAAGCACGTAAATTATTAAGAATAACTTTGAGACTATATCGCAAATCACGTGTCGAGTAGTTTTTTTTCATATTGATTTCTTTCTTATTTTTTTTTTTGAAAATTTTTTCTTTTGTACAAATATCTATATACGGAACACTTTTGCAAATCGAAACGTAAAAATAATAATTAGTATATTTTTAGGGACAGACAATAAAATTGTATTCTGATTTAAGTAGTAATACCACGTTTTAGTCAGCCAAAAAATAGTTTTATTCCCCATAATTAGTATTTGTTTCGCTCAGAAGAAAGAATTTAATTTTTCTCGAAATTCTTATACACAAGTAGTAAAAAACACATGTAGTCAGACTTTTATTGTATGTATGAGAAAAGTTTCGATTTTTTTTTTTTTTGAAAATGATAAATATACATAACATTGACTATATATATATATAAGTGTCCTCGTAGAAGATAAAGGGAAAAAAAGTACAAAGGTTATGAGAAACGAGATATATAGTGAGGTAGGTCTTTTTCACTGTGCCAGAGAGAATCAGTAATTGAGAAGGGGTCGAGCCTTGCACGTGGACAGTACAAGTCTCTCTCTCTCTTCTTCCTTACTACCATACATTGCACAATGCAAGCATATACATATATATATATATATATACTCAACAATAAGATCTTTCTCTTTTCAGCTTTATGTAGCTCCACACGAGGAGATTTAGAATCCTAGACCTCTTCAAGTAGAAAATATATGACGTATAATTTATGAAACTCCCGAGAAACATGAGGCGCAGAATAATTACGCTAATATCGACAAGACTCCGAGTTTTGCAATATATCTTTTACATACTCTATGTAATAATAATAATAATAATAATAATAAAAATAATAATAATAATATAAATAAATTATTATTTTTTTTATTATTATTATATTCAAAATATTTCACATGAAATTTGAAGCCTTATTTCATTTATTAATTTGTCATTTTATTTCAAATATTTTACACCTGCTACTTTTTCATATATATCATTCTTTTTCTGTCATTCTTTTTGTGTGTATTGTTATTTTTTTTCATCCCCAAAAATTGAGGGATTTTCTACCAAGGCTGAGGTCTTTATTCCTATATATATATATATATATATTGTTTTATAAAAATTGAATTTTATATAGTCATAAAAAACAATAGTTTATTTAATTCAATTATTTGGTTTCAAAAATTATTTATCATAAATATTTATTTTGCAACCGATTATTTTAATGAAATAAGTTTTGAACAAATGATTTCAATACAAATAGCATTTAATTGACTTAAATAAAAATTATTTGATTCAAGTAAATATTTATTTGATCACAGAAAATTAAAAGGCATTAAAATAAGCTGCAACGCTTATTATTTTAATCCAATTTTGCTTATTTTAATCCATTTTGATATTAAAATAAGCAAAATTGGATTAAAATAATAAGCGTTGCAGCTTATTTTAATACCTTTTAATTTTCTGTGATAATATTGTTTGAATCAAATAATTTTTTTTATATATCAAATATGATTCTACAGAAAAGTTTTATAAACACTAAATCACACAAATGTTTAAGTTTCGCGAGAACACTAATATACATGAAAAAAAAATTCTCCATGTATATTTTAGTGTTATACATCCATAATTTATGTAAAGATGAAAGTTCATACAGCGAGACCGAATAAGTTGAAAGGGCACTGCCCCCTGGGAAAGTCGATATTTTTCCATCATCTTTGGTTTTGTATATGTGGTTTGTGTTCTTGGTACACTATAATGTACCTCAGAAAAAGAGAATGATGTCACGCCATTTGTGTTGTACGTTTTACATTATATATATATATATATATATATATATATATTTGTAGACTCGAGTTACTCTTCTCGATCAATACACCCGTACGTGCGAGTACAACCCCTCGCGTACTACTTTCCCTTTCAAACGATGGCCCTCGCCAGCAAACGGAGAACCCCTTTAAAGCTTTAACGCGCCGACATACTTGGATATGTATGCCTACTGCGTATCGTACACATATATATGTACTATTCCACTCTTGTACGCACTTACAGATTCAAGAATCCTGGAAAAAACAATCCTTTCAATTGCCACGGAACTGAATTGCAAAAAAAAATCCTTTCCAGCTATTTAAAGCACGTCGAACTTTTTTTTTCAAAACTTTTAAATTAGTTTTCTTTCATTTTTCAAACGTGCTTTTTTTAAAGTGGAACGCTTCGAAAGTTACAATTCTCATTTTCACAATGTTTCCATCGCCCCAATTGGCCTCCTACTTGGACCACGTTAGGGTAATTTCTACCCCCCTGTTCAGAAATATTACCAGGGCCCAGATCGGGCCCGGATCAGGCTGTCCTATTAGGGAATGAAACGCCGCGCCTGATGTGGCCCTGATTAGGAAATCCACATTTCGCCCTGATTTGGCCCGGATCATTCCCTACTAGGGCCCTGGTAGGGCCCGTTCATAATTCAGCACAGAAATTTTAAACCGACCCTAGCAAGCCTCATGACGTGCAGCCCCAAATAAGATATCTGTTTTTTGCAGAGATATGGTTCTTAAAAATTGTTCAACAAAAAATATATATATATATATAGAATGAAAATAAAAAAAGACAATTTTTATTTTAAGTGACAAATTAATAAGGTATGTCAATTGACCTTCGTCTAGACGCGGAGATTATATATTAGACGGCTTTAAGAAATATTTTATATTAATAGACCAACGTCAGACAACGTGACCGATAAGCAATACTTTCAAATCTTATAGACAAGATCATATTTGAGATTTCTAAGTATAGACATATATCGAAGATATTGAATTATGAAAATAATTTTATTTGTTTTTCACCAGAGCAAACATAGACATTATGTACATTATATATAGTTATTTATTCTTCTTCTTCTTCGAATTTTTATATCTTAGGAAAAAAAAAATATTCCGTCACTCTTATATAATTCATTTACACAACTCAAGTCTCCTTTTCTTTATCATACTCTTCAGATATGTGCAGTAGAAATTTTCCAATCTGGCTCTGACCTGGTGGAAATAGGGAAAATGACTTGAGCCACATCAGACCCTGTTATAATCGATTTTAATCGAAATTCCGTGGCCCTGGTCGGGTTTTCTGTTTTATTCCGACTTGAGGGTTCCCGACATGGGCCTTGCCAGGGCCCGGTTATGTTCGCCAATCTGCTCCTGACTTGGATTCGATCCCAGTTTCCTGAGCAGAAATTTTGTTATGGTTTAGATCGGGGCCGAATTGGGCCGCCCTATTACGAAATGAAACGCCGAGCCTGATGTGGCCCTAATTAGGAAATCCACATTTTTTGGTCGCCCTGAACTACTAGGGCTCTGGTAGGGCAATTTCTACACGGGTTGTGCTAAAATAATCCGTGTAGAA